GGATTGTTCTGTCCTAAGTGCAGGACTTTGCACTTGTTTTTGTTGAACCTCATGAGATTCCTTTTGGCTCAATCCTCCAATTTGTCTAGATCACACTGAATCCTAGCCCTACCCTCCAGCATATCTACTACTCCCCCTAGCTTGGTATCATCTGCAGACTTGCTGAGGGTGCACTCCATCCCATCTTCCAGGTCACTGATGAAGACATTGAACAAAACCAGCTCCAGGACCAGTCTCTGGGGCACTCCACTTAGTACTGGCTGCCAACTAGACATCAAGTCATTGATTATTACCCTCTGAGTCTGATGCTTCAGCCAGTTTTCTATCCACCTTACAGTCCATTCATCCAGCCCATACTTCTTTAGCTTGCCTGGGTAAATGTTGTAGGAGGCTATATCAAAAGCCTTGCTAAATTCAAGGTACACCACATCCTCTGGTCTCCCTGCATCCACAGAGCCAGTCACCTTATCATAGAAGGCAATCAGGTTGGTCAGGCATGACTTGCCCCGGTGACTCCATGCTGACTGTTCCTAATTAACTTCTTGTTCTCCAAGTGCTTAAAAATGGATTCCTTGAGGATCTGCTTTGTGATTTTTCCAGGGACTGAGGTGAGGCTGACTGGTCCGTAGTTCCCTGGATCTTCTTTTTCCCCTTTCTTAAATATGGGCACTATGTTTGCTCTTTTCCAATCATCTTGAAGCTCTCCTGATCGCCGTGTGTCTTCAAAGATGATGGCCAGTGGCTCTGAAATCCCATCAACCAACTCCTTCAGCACCCTCAGGTTCATCCCATCCAGCCCCATTAACTTGTACATGTCCAGCTTTTCTTCATAGTCCCTAACCTGTTCTTTTGCCACAATTGGCTGCTCACCTCCTCCCCAAACTGTGCTGCCCTGTGCAGTAGTCTGGGAGCTGACCCTGCCTGTGAAGATTTGAGGTGAAAAGGGCATTGAGCACTTCAGCCTTTTCTGCATCCTCTTTCACAGGGCTGCCTGTCAGTAAGAGACCCACAATTTCCCTGATCCTCCCCTTGCTACCAACATACTTGTAGAAACCCTTCTTGTTACCCTTCACATCCCTTGATAACTTCAATTCCAATTGCACTTTGGCCTTCCTGACTTCATTCCTGCATTCCTGAGCAATGCTTTTATACGCCTCCCTAGTTATTTGGTATCAAACTCATCTGACCCCATGTGCCAAATGAGGGGTGCGGGGCTAGTCCACAGGCCAAATAAGGTCAACAGACTAACACTGCATGCTGGAACCAGTGCACAAGGCCAGTCCATTGTAGGCGTCATGTGCAGTACATGCGCTGAACTGGTCCTGTATGCTGCATGCAGTGCAGGGAGAGTCCAGTGCATGCTGAATGTGATGCGTGAGTCTGGTCTGAGACCCCTAGGCAGCACTATGAGCTGGATGATGAGACTGCGCAGGCTGGATCTTTGACACCCCTGACCAATACAGTCACCAATAAATAGAATGAGTCTGTTATATGATTTCATGGTGGTGGATGGGGAGTCGAGCTCTCTTCATCTGTGACCAAAAAGGGCATCAGCAAGTTCTTAAAAAGTTACTTTTGAGATTGAACCTGCAGCATGTGATTCTGGGAACTTTCTATATACTGAAGTCTTCTAATAGAAAATCTGAAAAAATAAAGAAACTGAAGTTATATTGCTTGGCTAGATGGTAACTAAAGTGAAACTGTATAAAAGGGTTATATGACATTTGAAGAGTAAGTGTTGAGGGAGAGGAAATGCCTGTAATGATCTAGTGGAGTATAAGTAGAAATGAGACGAGGTTGGGCAAAGAGAAGAAAGTAGGCTGAAAATTAGGAAAAAATTCCTAGCACAGAGATCTGTTGGCCTGTGGAATAATCTACCAAGGGAAGCTTAATTGCTTGAGTCATTTAAAACTGGACTGAACAAAGCACTGTAGGAAGCAATCCTGCATTGGCAGCTGGAAGGGTAATGAATGTATTTCTTTCCATTTCTAATAAAATTCTGTGATTCACAATTTCCATAATAAAGTTATAAAAACAAACTGGGTTAAACTTAAACACTTGCGTCCACTGCGTTATATATTGAAGGGACACAAACTAACACCAGTAACAAACAATATGGATTCCAGTCCTTAATATGTTGTGATTTTTTATGGGCTGAAGTATATCCTTCTTTCACTCCAGTTACAAAATTCTTCTGCCCTTGTTTTCCTTCAGTGTAAGAAACTAGTACTCTTCCAAAGCACTTTAATGCAAGTGGCATTCATAGTAAATAGTGTAAAGCAAAAAATCTAAAGTCTGGGCTGAATGGGATAAAACCACATTAATAAACTGACTCTTTGGATCTCATGTCAGGGTCAATGGCACTTCTTAGAAACAGGTAAAGGCATGAGTGCTGAATATTGTGTTTTGCATAGCTGCTATCTGGAGTTCTCATGTCCCCCAAAAGTGTGTTTGTAAATACAGCTGTTATTAATGGGAGTTGCACATGCTGCATCAAAGAGGGAGAGGCTATGGGCACTCAGTAGTTCAAGTGGGAAGCAGCTTGCCTGCTTGTTTAACTGCAAATGAAATATGCCAGTAGCAGATTGGATAGAGGGAGAGGAGGAAGAGCACAGAGAGGCAGAGGAGAATGCAAGTGCAGCAGATCTCTACCAGCCACTTCTCCATATACAAATTAAAGTTGGCACAGAGCACTGAAGTATGAAACAAGCCATTAGGCACTTTACATGGATTAACAATTTTCCTTTAAATCATATATTAATTAGGAAATAATGTTTGACATTAAACTCCTTTAATAGAAGGCATTTAAGAGCTTAAGCAGCAGCAGAGAGGACATAACCATGTGGGGTGTTATGTGATCAGTAAATGACCTGAACATCATGTATTACAGCAATTATTAATTTCCTAATTATGAAATTTGAGTTTGAAATGACAAACTAAATGTAGGGACA